TCCTGCTTGGTGTTTAAAAGGATTCATACACTCCATCCCCCTCACATAATTAAGACTAAGGAAAAGTGGCATTGTAAGATCTGAAGGAAATGTGTCAAGGGTTCAGGGGCATGGTGACATTAGCACAGTAGAAGAGCTGGGCTTGCTGGTCTATTATGACTGGAATGAAAAAGTCTAAAAAAAGATGCAGGCTCACAGAGAAACTTCAGCTGTAACTGATTTGTCAGGACATCCAACAAAGCTCCTCAGGACTTTTCCCTGAACCAATGAGTCATTTGCCCTCTACTGCAATAACCAGTAAACACTATGTGATGCAGCATTTCCAAAAATAGCAAGCTCTGCAGAATACGCAGCTTGGTGATGCCTCTGACGTGGCAGTGAAGAGAGCAGGGGAGGGAATGTGATGAGCTACCGCATCTTCAATTCCGAATTTTTCTTTTCATACCTGATGCTCCAGTGGCAGCAGCAGCGTCATCCATGAGATCTCCTTCTTCCAACTCCATATTACTACCATATTCCACATCATTTTCTCCAGACCTTCGGAAGGGAAACCCAGCAAAAACTCCAATTCAACATTATGAGGTTAACCATCTTCAAAAACCTGAACACTCCTGAAAGGTTTTATGGACCCCCAAATCACAAAAATTAAAAGGCATTATTTGTTACTTGACTCAGAAAAGTGTGGACTTCCGGCTTCAAAGCACAGAAGTTTTAGAACCCCATTTTCCCACCCTTCGTACACGCCGCAAGAACGTGGCACATTAACTATCTGGATTTGACAGCATCCTTTTAACTATCCAACTACTGACAGGCTGAAGCTTGAGTATCCTGGTTCTACTCACCGCCCTCTTGAATACTACACCTTCAGAGTATGCCCACACACTGTAAGAGTGTTAATCACCAAGAACAAAATTTTGTTCCTTGGAAAGAGCCGTTCACAAGATGAACACAATATCTTTGGCCAGTGAACTGAGTAAAAACAAGCTGAAAATAAAATCAGAGCATTCCTTGCTGACCTGACATCCTGTCTTTCTACTCCAAATTACTGTCCATCTCTTGGTCCCTGATCTGTCAGAAAGCAATGCAATGCTCCACCACCGTGACACGCAAAGTCAATCCAATGGGAATGAACATCAGACCAGAAGACAAGAGGATAAAGTCACTCACATAGTTTCTTCATCGATATCATTTTCTTCAGTGTTGCTTGTGGCTGTTGAACTGGCAGATGAGCTGCTGCCACCATCAAGGTGATTTGCCTCATCCTCTCCAGCGAGGTCAACTTCCAGATCACCGTCCGAGAGGTCGTGCTGCAGCGACACAACACAAGAACGTCTGCGTAAGGGAATTCTTCAGCTCAACGTTTCCCTTCGCCCTTTTACTCACAAAAGGTTCTAAACAGAAAAAGCCCCAACGATAGACAGTAATATTGCCCAGGAATCAGGGGGATCTGAAAGTGCAGCACATGAGGTGTTTGCCTTGAGACAAGGCTACACCCCTCAGGAAGCTGGATTTTCAAATTTGTTCACCAATGAGTTATAATTTGGACTTTCTCCCTTATGAGAAAATCCTTTGCTACCACTTAGCCTGAAGGTCAGTGCTTTTAAAAGTCTCTACCCTTTTCCCGCAATATCCATTAGTTGTACTTTTGTGGAGAACGTGTATTATGATTTGGACTGCACAAGTGCATGTCTACATCTCTAGTTCTAGAATGAGAGTACATTAGAGAGAAGGCAAAAAGTTGAGCAGAAGATGCTTCCTACATTAAAGTCTTCTTGCTGGATTTTGTCCTCCTCCTCATCCTTGCTATCTCGCGCAGATGCCAGAGTGGTGACATTCTCAAGTAGCACTTCCGGATTCTGTCCAGCTTTCTTTGGTCTCGCTTCCAGCCCATCATCATTTTGCGGGCTAAGATGAGTGTCCGGAGGTGACATGCCTCGTGACTTTTGGGTACGGGAAAGCTCAATTGCAAGTCTCTTAAAATATGTTAAAATGCACACAGTAAGAGACAAGAAAGCTAGACAAATTACAAAAAGCGGCTTTATTTCACAGATTTTAAGGGTTCACTATGAAGGATCATGAACAAAGAAGAACCCAGCCCTGTCAACACTAAAAATAGTAGCAAGTTCCAAATACGTGACAATAAAACCTCAATTTAGTGGCCAGTCACTAACTCCACTTCCAAGAATGACTCCATATACTATAGCAGCATTAATCACAGTAAGATAAGAATTTGTTTCTGGGAAAGAGCCTTACAAGAGATTAACATCTTCAGAACTGGCATCCAAACCCACCCCTGCTTACCTCTTTAAGGTTGTTTATCTGTTGGATGTAACTCGTCTGAGCTGCTTCCAGCTGAGTAATGTACCAGTGTTGGTCCCGACACTTTTGGAAGAAAGTAGGTGAACGCACTTGGAATCTTAAAAAAGCCATAAAAAAAAAAAATTTACAGTGCTTGAAAAGACTCATCTAAAAAGCTTGCAATACTTACAGTCTGGAGATAAAACTTAAAATTTAACAGTGAACAAAACACTAGTACATTTTACCAGGTTAGATTACAGCTTTCTGGACTATCAGAAGAGATCAACCCCAGAAGGCATTTAAAAAGCTAAATTATCTTCTACTGAGTATGGCGGGATTAAAAAGCATTTTGCATACTAGCTAGGTCCATGCATATGTCCTGCAGTAGCAGCAGTTAAGTCTATTTAAGGTAGTTGTGCTAAAAATGCCCTTACAAAGCAAGGAGGACTAGCCAACGCTCACTCAAACTTGAGAAGGGCCAGCCCCCATTGCATTGTGCTTTGTAGAAGTGAAGTACCTCAGCCAGCTCCCGATGGGTTAGCTTGGGTCCAGGAGACAGTATGGTTCTCAGTCTGTATTACCCCTAAATAAACTGGATCAGGGTTTTATTAAAAAAAAACCAACAATACTCTGCAGCACAGATGCACCCTCAAAAGAAGAGTCTGTCTTTAAAATCAGGTTTCCTCAGGCTTCCAAACTGCATGAAAGCTGGAGTGCAAATCAGCATCATGTGACAGTTTCAAATGTAATGAAAGACACCTCAGCAAAACTTCCTGAAAAGCTCAGCAAACCTCTAACCATTCTTTAATCAAATCACTGGAATGATTAATATGCAGGCTTTTTACTGATTAGATATTTCCTAGGGGTAAACATGGCTGCAGAACTAAAAATGCAGCAAACAAAAGAGAAGACATTGAGAAAACTTTTTCTTTAATCAGACAAAGAAACAAGGTGTGAAAAAGTTTAGGATGTTGTCTTCCTAGAGGTAAGGCATTCCAGTTATAAATAGAAAAATGCTATTTTTTTTCAAGCATTATTTAAACAATGTAGCCTACATAGATTGTCATGTATTCTTCCAGGGTGAGATGGAGCCAAGGAGGATATGACATTGCATCATCTTTCAGTTGCTGGCTGCTGGCAAGTCCAATGGCCATCCCTGTACACACAAATTCATATTTCTGACACATCCCAAGTGGTTTCTAATGGGAGCGAGTGGGACAAGTCAGATATTACCTGAAGTAGAAGGGCAACATACCCATTTTATCTATTATAACGTGGCAAAAAGAGTTAGTTCTATATGCATTAGAAATACTGCTCCCTTCTCCAACTTCCCCTGCACTCATGCAGTGGGGCCCAAAGCAGGGAAATGCATTATCCCAGCTTTGAAAATGAGGAGATGCAGAATCTTCCTGAAGTGTTTGAAATTTGCTAGTTAAGGATATCTGATATAGACCTATCGTGTCAAATAGTAGTTCTGCAAGTGACTGCTTCATCTCAAAGAAATCTATGTAAATCTCCCCCACCTCCTTAAAGCACACACTCTTCAGAAGCTCATAAAGAGCCAAATCCTTTTATTTTGTGACAAAACCTGTCACACTATTTTTTGAATTAATCTATTTTAATTATTTCCTACGCTGACAAGCACTTTCACAAAACGATGGCAAGAAACACAAAACCTCTCTCTTACCTTAGAATTACTGTGTCATTTTGTCTGTTTAAATACCCTTCATTGGCAAGCAGGTCTAGGCGAAAGAATCTGTTGTAGCCCCAACATTCTCCAACTTCAAAATCAGAGGCAAACTCTCGAATGATGTTTTTAGCTGGATCGTTGGTGGACTGGTGAACCATCTCTACCCGGTACTCATATCTAAAAAATGCAAATTGAAATGAAACAAGAAAGCAAGCCAGACTTCAGTATAACAAGCAAACAGAAAAAAATACACTATTTTTCTGAAGTTTCCACTAAAAAAAGGTGATTTCATGGAGACTTTCCCATGTTGGAAGTGTACAGCACATTGAATGGTTTTTGAGGGAACACACACATTCTAAGTAGTAAAGACCTAAGGCTAAACCAAGAGGCAAGCAACACTGCATTTTCGGACAAGCTGGAGGACTTATGTATTTATAAACCGAACAGCTTAAACAACAGCAATCAGAGCTCCACCACAACACTAAGTGGTAACGTAGCCTATTAGTGCTTCAAGGCAGGAATTCTAGGCCGCTGGTGTCAAAGGCTGTGTGTCAGCACAGATAAAAACTGAAGTCAAAGCGCTGAGTGTCTGCCACCCTACTCCACATGAAACACAAGTGTGATGTGATTGACAGTAGATAGAGTGTAAAGTGAAGGCAGACCTCTTCACAAACCAGCAAATTAGAAGGACAGCCTCAGACCTAACAAAACAAGAGGTAAGAGCAGGGGAGAATCTCTGCAATGAAGTCCCCATTTCATTTTTTAAAGATTTGACAATCATGTTCTTCCATCGTTCATAAGACTTGTTCTCCCCTGGTTCTGTGTAGAACAGCACAGAGGAAACAGTTTAACTGACTGGAGACAATGCTATCAAATACACACACGCACACAAAAAGAGAAAAAAGGTGTTCTCCCCCTAAAATGTCAGCTCTAAATATGATTTCACATCAACTGTGTCCTTTTGGATTAAATGTTATTTTTAGAACTTTTAAGGAAAAAAAACCATTTAAGATGTTTATACATACACAAACCACATTTCTAGGATGTTTTCCCTACCTTTTGCAATGTATGCAAATAGTTGAGAGTAGCTGCACTGAGTTAACAAACCATAATCACTACTTACAAAATTCTTAGATAAGCTTCTTGTAGACATGTCCTCTGCACGCACATTTCTTTGCAGGGTTGCATACATGTCACATAACACTGAGGAGGGGAAGCTGAGCCACATGCAAATAATAAGGCCCTAGTGCAGTGTGTGTATGCAAAAACCACAAAATGGTGCTTTTGGCCATCGCACTGTGTGGGAGAAGAGCACTGCAGCTAGTGGGGTACCACTAGTGTTAAATATTAGTAGAAGTTTTTAACATCAGGCAAGGCAAGTGTCCTCTTCCCCTTTCAGTAACTGTATTTTTATTCTTAACTCACAATGGACAAGAAGAGATGTTAGAAGGTTGCAGCTGCTGTTACTCAAACCTGCCAGCAACTCCTCTCCAGCTCTTTGTATCAGAATGAGTACCCAGCCATCTCAGGAAGGTCCTTGCATTAATCAGGCCTTGAATCTTTCCTTGCAGGCCTCAAACCCAAAATTCTCTGACCGAGTCCCTCCCTTTGACCTGAACGGCACTACTCAGCTGTCAGTCTGAAACCCCTTCCACAGCACTATTACCGCACCCTTCCCGAGTGGGCTCAGCACTCTAGTTCCAGATTCTCGCCACTTGCCAAGCTGTGGTTTCTGAGCCTTGCAGGTCAGACTTTCACAGGCAAAGGAAGTTCCAAACACACCTCAGGCAGTCTCCCTGGAAAGACAGAGTCCTGTAAACTTTCTTGCTCCAAGTGTAGCCATGCTTGCTCCCAGGGAATTAGCATTTAACTGCTGGCTACAACTCATTCCCTGGAATATTTGCTGGCTCCATTTCCAATCTAGAGTGAAAAAAGTATCCTAAAAACACTTCACTTAGAAAGAGATTGGTCTAGGAAGCCAATCTCAGGACTGGAAGCTGGGAAACCTCAGTTTTATTATCAGCTTTATCACTGAGTTACTTCTCACCTTGGGCAGCCTCCTTAATATCTGTGTCCCACCTTTCTATTAATAAAAGGGCACTAAAGACCCGATTCAGAAGTCCAGTTCAGTCGATGGGAACCATTCTATGAACGTCAAGGGGCCTTGGACCAAGCTCTAGCAACGCTACAAAGCTTGGACCATGCTTTGTAAGGCTCCATGAATTCCACAAAGAACTGTAAGAGACATTTAAATAATAGCCATTTCCTTACTTGGATGTTTCTGGCAATCCAGCAGACAGCTCCAAAAACACGGACAAGTAGTAACCACGCACCACTCCATTTCCATCCTTTAAAAGAAATAAGGAGGTACAATTATTAATGGGTCAAACTAGTACAGAAAATAAGTTCATGATACGGAATTAAAATACACAATATTTTACAGCCTCAGGTCAGAGCAGTCAAACAAAATGTGTTTTTACTGTGCCATGGCTAAAAACCACTACTGTAGCTTAAATTAAGGTAGAACTGTGACACCACAGTCACACATTTTCTAAGTGCTAAACTCTCTCAGAATTTGACAGTTGTAATCAGAATCATGGAAACTGCATTTCAGTAATTCAAGTAAGTGTAAACTGGAATCATTTGGTGAGTGCCACCAGTTTCTAGTCCTGTTTCTTTTCTGAAGCTATGCATTAAGAGGACAGTTAAATAAGAGCAAAGCTTTCAAATTCCCTTAACCACAGATATATTGTAGCACCTTTTCTTCGTAGCTTTTACCAAACATTTAGCATGAACAACAAACTTTGAAGAGAGCCAGTTTTCTTAAATAATGCACAGCTACATTTTGGTGAGGGGGAGAGGAAGATTTTATAACCCAACAGCATTACATTTCAAAAAGCCCTTCTCCTATTCACTGCCAGAAAGAAAAATCTACTGCTATTGCTGAATGAGTCTAAGTTATATTTTACATCCTGTGAGGATCATGTACATGGCCGACCGAATTTGAGATGTTTCGGGCTCTTGTACACCTCTCCAGCTCAGTGCAAAATAGAATTGTGTGCATGTGCGAACCTGGCAGAAGAATGTGATTCCATTAAAGTCCGCCTATATTAGCTAGCAAGCCAAGCAAGCCGCTGTGGTACTCGAATCACTTAAAACAGGAAGAATAGTTTTTCTCCAAGCACAATTCTAATAGTATCCAGAGTTGCCCGAAAGCCTTGACGAAACGTGAAGGTTCAGC